CATAACAACTCAGCTACAATTCATTACTACCGAATTTATTGATTTGTAATTTGAATTTCAAACTTTTAAATAACGAGCAGTGATTATATTAACACGTTGAGGACCGCCGTTGTGCGCGTACTGCTTCAAGCTTTTTTCGTATTCTCTCATCAAGTAGGCATTAATCCTTCAGCGTTTTCATTATCAGTAATGAAAAATTGTTTTTTCGGATCCAATAATGTACATGGACCGTTGTGGAACAGGAAAAAACGCCAAATAAATTAAGGGAAAACTAGTCTGCTCCATGTGAAAGTGTGGTATGACATCATACAATGACAACGAACCCCAGATTTCGGTAAAGGTGACTATAATGCCATATGTTCCCACCTTCTTTCAATAGAATGGCATCGTGTTTTTGACTCTCTGGAGACTATAGATGAATGTTACTTCTATTTCGCCGATATTTGTCATTCCCTTATTTCCCGCTTTGTTCCGTACGGCTGTATCACCAAGGGAGCTTTGCACCTTCCCCACTATTTACGAAGGGTTGAGGCTCAAGTTCAACGACTGTTCATAAGTGGGAATTACTTAAATAATCCGCGCTATGTTTACCTTTCTCGCTTACTCAGGAAAAAAATAGCGAAGCTTCATCTCAAATATGAAGACTACATTGCTTCTTCTAAGAATAGAAAAAGATTCTGGAGTTACTGTAATGCTAGGTTGAAAGACTCCTTCATCAGTCGGAACCATCATTTCCCCTTCCGGATCAGCATGTTCATTAGACACAGCTAAGGTTGAGGTATTTGCAGAATATTTCAAGACATTTTATAAGAATCACGCGACTTCAACTGTAGAGGACATAGTGGAACCTGAACACAAGCTAGATTGGGTAGATTTCAGCTATGAAAATGTTTTCCGCACCTTTGAACAAGCTTCCCCTTCGATGCTCTACATCACCTGATGGGTTGCCCTACATATTTCTCAAGAAAGCTGCAGAAGGTGTCACCCCTGCCCTTACACATCTTCTTCAATAGAATACTTTTGAAAGGTGAGTACCTGCATCTGGCGATTGGGACTGGTTAGGCCAATATTCAAAAAGGGAAGCAGGAGCGACTACAGGAACTATAGGCCTGTATGTCTCACTTCGTCAGTCAGTAAAGTAATGGAAAGAATGGTGTGTGATCGAATCAGAAACTTTTTCATATCAAAGGGTCTCGTATCCCCTTGTCAACATGGTTTCCTTCCAAAAAAGTCGACCGCTTCAGCACTTCTTTCCTCTATCCCAGCATGGCAATACGCCATGGACAAAAAGACATCGGTCTTCGTTGCATACATTGATTTTTCCAAAGCGTTCGATTCCATACCTCTACCTCTTCTGTTTCTCAAGCTGAAGCGGCTTGGAATTACCGGATGTCTCCTCAATTTCATTAAATCGTTCTTCTCCAATAGGTTTCAAAGGGTTGTTCTAAATGGCGCATGTTCTCAAATTTACCGAACTGAGAGCGGCGTTCCTCAAGGTTCTTGTTTAGGGCCCTTAATGTTTATTCTGTACATTAATGATTTACCTAGCGTTCTTCCTTCTGGTATACATTGCTCAATGTACGCGGACGACTTGAAGGTATACTGCTTTGATCAGCCCTTACTGCTACAAGACGCTCTTGATACCGTTTCAAGCTGGGCAACGGAGGTGGGGGCTCACTATTTCTCTGGATAAAACGTTCGTCTTGCGTTTGGGGCCTCCTTGCCGATCCGTTCCGAAGTTCTTGGTTAATGGAGCTGAGGTGAAGGAACCTGATTTACTCAGTGACCTGGGCATTTCCTATTCTCGTTCATTGTGCTTCAATGAATATATTACCAGAGTGGTTCACTCAGCACATTGCAGGGCAAACTTCATATTGCGCGCCTTCTCTACAAAGAGCACAAAAACACTATTCAAGCGATATAATCGGAGATAGCGGGGGGAATTGTTTGCCCCCTCTTGCGTCGATCCATAGTCTGAATTGAGCTTACAACTACGGAGTACTTCATATCTTAAATGTACTAGAAAGGTTCAAACAACTGTAATGGACAACAATGAGGATGTCCCTTAATTATTGCACCACTTCCCTTTACTTGCGCCTTTTTCCAAATTGGATGTATCTTCAAGGCGTTTCAAAAAAATTCAGTCTAACATTTACGTTTTGATAAGAATGTCTTTATTAAATGTGCTCCCGTGTTGCTCTGGCTTTGACTTGAAATCATCTAGCAGATAACAATATAATTCTTTTACATGATACCGTTGCTACTGAGTTATGTTAGTTATGTTAGTTATCTTATGCAATGTTGCAGTTATTGAATGAGATAACAAGCTCTAGAACAGCTCAAGGACTCACATTCTTGCAACGAACTTCAATCGTTTTCGCGCAGGGTGTACTTTCCTCCAAACAGATGATACTCATATCACTGACAACGTATTTTGAAATCGCTGGTCACTCACAACCAGGCCGAAACTTAAAACCCAGGCCTAAACTCAAAACTGAAACTAAACAGTTACACTTAACTTCAAACGTGCTTGTGTTCACGGTAATAGCAAAAAGTTTATCAGAAACATATTTGAACAGAACCTTGAACGACAGGCCAGGTGTTTTCCAGTCTTACTACTGTCAACTTGTGACCGACATTGAAAAAAGCGTCCAACAAGTAGTCTTAAAAGTTTCGCGTCTGATGTGAAAGCGAGAACGAGGGGGTGTATTTGAGCGACCATAAAGGGGAGGGGGTTGTATTGGCACAGACCCATTTGTCTGGAAGTGCGCGATGAAGTGCCAGATACGAAACTGTCATAAGGCAGAATACTGTTTTTTTGCGGCTCCTATGCTTGAACACAAATGAAAAGTGCCTATCGTAGCGCGGAAACGAGGACCAGAGACGCGCCCGTTGGTTGCTCGCGCCCTCTCACCGAAAGGTGGAAACTCGCATCTCCCAAAAAATCTCACTGAGAGAGTGCGGAATCCTAGCCAGTTCATGGCGAATCTTTCTTACGGCGCCAACCATTTTCTGTAAGATCCCCAACAAGTTTGCCGCACTAAGGTTATGGAGGATGAACGACGACAATGACATAGGTAGTATATATTGTAAGAAGAGGTGAGGAATATGTATATTCTGAATTAGAAGAAATTTAGCAACTCACGTTTGTCAAAAACGTTACCTACGGATTAAAAACGTCGTGATGTCCTCTCCAATACGCTGTGATGCAACAAATGACGATTTCAAGACGGACTTCAGTCTTTTCCGTGGCTATAATGCAGTTTCATTCAACGTAGCAATTTATAATAGGCTATCATCTAATAATGAAAATTTGGTAGGTCAACAAACTGACTAGGTACGATATAACGAAGAATTGTAAAGTAGCTGGCCAGCAAATGGATTAAATAGGTTGCCTGCTTTATCTGGGTACCCGGATAAAGCTCAACTGAATATCAGATGCAGATGGGAAGCACCTGAAACTGATTGCTAATTGACATAAATAGCATAAGAAATAAACTGGATATTGTAAGAAGAAGGATCAAACTCGATATTATAAATAGCAGAAGAAATAAATTCAATACAAAAGCATCTGACTCATCTGACTGTACTGGCAAAAACCAGCAGTAGTCACAGAGGAGCAGTTGTGACTGCTAGCTATAGGGAGACCGTTGCGCTTCAAGAATAAACAACCTGCCACATAACGTAATTGGAAACAATGTATACGATGGAGATGGATCTACTCTCTCCAGGTGAATAAGTCTCGCGCTGGTCTACCTTTCATGCGAAAAGTCCGTATTTTGGATCGTTACGATTTCGTACGTGACGGAGAGGAATGTGAGTGCGAGACACTTTATAAGGTTCTTTGAAACAAGACCTCCGAAAACAGTAACGATAGTACATATTCCAAATGCGCTAGTATTCAAACCTGCACATGCTGTGCCGTAATCTGTACATCTACTCAAAGCAGTATGTAATAGATTGTCACAGTGGGCGCTTTCACAGTCGGTCGTCCCATCGGTTAACGATCGCACAGCATTAGATACGTTTCGATCGTCCGATTATACTACAAGTGCGACGATCGATGAGTATCCAATGTTGTGCAATCGCTACGATAGGACAACCGACTGTGAAAGCGTTCTTTCCCAAGACATGTAGATCCGACAAATTCCCAGAAACAAAAAAACTTCCTGTTGACATTTTCCTCTATAAATGCGCAATAAAAACTGAGCGAAGACTGACGGAAGTGCACATCACTTCCTTCAAAACAAGGAATTATCGGGAGTAGAAAGAAATTCAGGATGCGTCTTTGCTAGAAAAACACCTTTTCCATGAAAAGGCCGATGAGCTAACCTCAAACTGTGACTCACAGCAGGAACTGTGAGTTTAGGATGTAAAAGGGGTCACTGTATGATCTCAACAAAAACGATTTCGAGTTACTTAACTCTATGAAACTCTTATCTCACAAGCCGTCTCAGCCCACGGCAGTCGCGTTAGAAACCGATCAGACTAATGATGAACCGTTCAAACTGCTTGAACATTAAAACACTAGAGAAGATCCAAGGAACACTTCCAGGTGACATCGCCTTGCATTTGCCGAGGAGAGAACTGTGAACCAGGGTCAACCCTGCGTTGCGCAAAGAACAACGAGGGGGTCGTATTCAGCCGACCGAAAAGGGAGGGGGTCGTATCCACAGACGGGCTGCAAGACGGCTTGAAAAGTGCAGTGTCCGGGAGTGCACTTTCAGCCTCTAATGTTCTCCAGGAGCTCTGCACGCTGTCGGAGAGTCACACAGACATGAGCTCCATGGGAGCATTAAAGCATGCAGAGCACTATAAGTCTCACCATCAGCTTATTATCCTTAATCGACGCTATCCGGACGGCGCTTTTGCTCCGCGGCATAGATCAAGAGTACAATAGACAATAGCCAAAAACTTTGTTACAGTGTAGTGCAAAAACATGGTCTGTCTTCGATGATGAAACATTCCTGAAATCCCGAGGAGAACAAAGTGTAGAGCAGTTCATGGGAAAGTGAAACAAGAGTGCCATATAACAGCACAATACAACTCAATTATAATAATAATTCTTCTACGGAAAACATTTCAGAAGCCAGTGGCGCCGGGCCGCCGCCGAGCCCTGAACGCCGCGCGGGCGGGCCTCTGCTGCCACCACGCCGTCAGCATTTACCAGCGAGTTAGGGGGGCCGCCGAGGGGCGACTTGGCTCACCATGACGGCATGGTCACGTCCGCCCGCTTCAAGTTCTCCGCCACGCTCGTCGTGTCGGTGCTGGCGGTCGTGCTGACGCTGGCCATCAGCGGCGACGGTGACGACACCGACCTGCCTACGCGCGTCGCCAGCCAGTTGCCGCCGCCCCAGCGCTGAGCCGCCACCCCGCTGCGGCGTGACAAACGCCGCCCCTTCGCGCCCCTTGTCGCCTGACTTCTCTCCGCTGACACGTGGTGGCGCGATGATGGGCGCCTTTGTCGTCGCCCGAGTGCCCGAAAGATGAACGAGCTGTTGACCTGGTCCCTGGCCGCCGTGGCGGTTGTCGTCGTGCTGCTGCTGGTGGGGCTGGGCCTGCGCCGTCAGCGCCAGGCCCGGGCCGACGCCGAGCGCCGTGAAGCCGAGCGACTGGCTGCCGAGCAGGCCGCCCATG